AACCGTCCATTTTAGAATGGAAAGAAGCGACAACAAATCGTTTCTTTTAGCACTGGGACATGACTTGGAGGCCAAAAAAAAAACAAACCGTATTTCTTGCACTGGGGCTTCTAAACCCAAACAACAGCAACAAATTTATTTTTTTTCAGCATGAAAGCATCACTACCATGCCAACACAACTGAGCACTGGAGCACCATTTCGAAGCCGGAAATGCAGCATCGCCACGAGGCCGGCTTCGAAGTGATGCCCCAATACAAAGAAATACAATTTGTTGCGTTGTTTTGGCTCCGAAGTGATGCCCCAGTCTGCTAAGAACTTTGCCGTTGTTTGGCATCGAAATGATGCTTCAGTGCCAAATGAAAGAATTGCTTTTTTGTGGGGCCTCGAAGTGGTATGTCCCAGTGCTTAAAAAAACGATTTGTTGTCGTTGCTGTGAAGTGATGCACCAGTGCAAAAAAGTACGATTTGTTGCCGTTGTTTTGATCTCGTAGTGATGCCCCCGTGCCAAGAAGTACGATTTGTTGCCGTTTTTTGGCCACGAGGGAGGTGATGCTCCGGTGCTGAGAAGTACGATTTGTTGCCGTCGAAGTGATGAGCCAGTGCCTTTTGTTGCCGTTGTGTTGCCTTCGAATTGATGCCCCAGTGCAAAGAAGCACGATTTGGTGGAATCGAAACGATGGCCCCGTGGTTCGCTGCCAATGTTTGGCCTCGAAGTGATGCCCAAGTGCTAAGAAGGACGATTTGTTGTCGTTGGTTTGGCTTCGAAGTGATGAAGAAGTACGATTTTTTGCCGTTATTGTGGCTCGAAGTGATGCCTCAGTGCTAAGAAGTACGATGTGTTGCGGTAGTTTTGGCTTCGAAGTGATGCCAGTGGTGCCCCAGTGCTGAGAAGTACGATTTGTTGTCGTTGCTTGGGCCTCGCAGTGATGCACCAGTGCTGAGAAGTACGATTTGTTGCCGTTGTTCTGGCTTCGAAGTGATGCACCAGTGCAAAACTTCGGTTTGTTGGCGTTGTTTGGGCTTCGAAGTGATGCCCTGGTGCTAAGAAGTGCGATTTGGTGCGTTTGTTTTGGCCTCGAAGTGATGCCCTAGTGCTAAGAAGCACGATTTGTTGCCGTTGCCTTGGCCTCGAAGTGATGCCCCAACGCTGAGAAATACGATTTGTTGCCGTAGTTTGGCTTGGAAGTGATGCCCCAGTGCTCAGAAGTACGATTAGTTGCCGTTGTTTTGGCCTCGAGGTGATGCCCCAACGCTGAGATGTACGATTTGTTGCCGTTGCCTTGGCCTCGAAGTGATGCCCCAACGCTAAGATGTACGATTTGTTGCCGTTGTCGAAGTGATGCCCCAGTGCCAAGAAGTACGATTTGTTGCCGGACTTGAAGCGCCCCCAAGTCTCAGACTTGAAGCCCTCCTAAATCCGGACTTGAACCTTCAAGTCCGGACTTGAAGCCACCAAGTCCGGCCCGGACTTGAAACCTCCAAGTCCGGACTTGAAGCCCCCAAGTCCGGACTTGAAGCCTCCAAGTCAAGACTTGAAGCCCCCAAGTCCGGACTTGAAGTCCCAAGTCCAGACTTGAAGCCCCCCCAAGTCCGGACTTGAAGCTCCCCAAGTCCGGACTTGAAGCCCCCCCAAGTCCGGACTTGAAGCCCCCAAGACCGGATTTGAAGCCCCAAACTTGAGGCCCCCAAGTCCGGACTTGAAGCCTCCAAGTCCGGACCTGAACTCCCCAAGTCCGGACTTGAAGCCCCAAGTCAGGACTTGACGCCCCCAAGTCCGGACTTGAAGCCCCCAAGTCCGGACTCGCCGATGCCCCAGTGCCAAGAAGTACGATTTGTTGCCGTTGTTTTGGCGTCGAAGTGATGCCCCAGTGCTAAGAAGTACGATTTGGTGCCGTTGTTTTGCAGTGCTAAGAACGATTTGTTGCCGTTGTTTTGGCGTCGAAGTGATGCCCCAGTGCTAAAAAGTACGATTTGTTGCTGTTGTTTTGGCGTCGAAATTGCGAAGAAGTACGATTTGTTGCCGTTGTTTTGGCCTCGAAGTGATGCCCCGGTGCTAAGAAGTACGATTTGTTGCCGTTGTTTTGGCTTCGAAGTGATGCCAGTGATGCCCCAGTGCTGAGAAGTACGATTTGTTGCCCGTTGTTTTGGCGTCGAAATGCTGCCCCAGTATCAGAAATACATTTTATTGCCGTTGTCTTTGCGCCCATATGATGCCCCAGTGCAAGAAATAGGATGTGTTTTGTGGTTCTGGCTGGCTGGCTGCCGTTTGGAAATGCTTTTGTGTTAACGCCAAGATAACGGCAAGAAATCAACCGCAACAAATACTACTTCTTGACACTAATCATCATCTCGAAGCCGAGACAAAAACAAGAAATCGTGCTTCTTGGCTCTGGAGCGCTCCGTCACCGACAACAAATCAATCGTATCTCCGAGCACACAGAGACATTTCGAGTGCGTAAAAAGAGGTTTGTTGCCGTTGTCTTGGCCTTGCTGCTTATCGAAAGGTGCCGTGTCGAAATGCTTGCCTAGTGCCAACTACGACTTGTTGCCGTTATCTTCATCACAAATGCTCCAATGCTGATATAGACGATATATTGCGATGGGTTGTCGTGGATTTGGCTTCGAAAAGTTGCTTCAATACCATGGAGATAAAAGCTTATTGTCGAGCTTCCGAAATTCTGCCCCAGTGTTACGAACTACGATTTGTTGCCGTTGTTCTAGCGTCGAAATGACTCAGTGCAAAGACGTACGATTTGGCCTTTGTCTTAGTCTTGAAATACTGCTTGTAAGAAGTATGATTTGCTACCGTTGTCTTTGCGTTGGCGACAAATCGGAGCGGAGCCGTGCATATATATATCCTCCGAAATATACTTATGATATTTAGGCCTATATCATATATCGGCGGATATCGATAATGCCGGATTCTCTTATATTATCTCTCTCCTATTATTCGCACGCCTCATGAGCAAGACCCAACGGGCGAGACCCCATTAAAGCAACCAAAACATTTAGGGAAATATATCGTGACTCAGTATTTATCTCCATCATAACGAGTCGTATTTCATCTTGAGACTGGAGCAGTACCTCGAGGCCAAGATAAAGCCAAAAAATCATTCTTCTTATTATTGGGGCACTACATCGATATGCTGCACCAATCCACCCAAAAGTACGATTTCTAGTCGTGGTTTGGGTTTCGAAATATTATCCTTATAAATATAAAAAAATTAAAAATATCAAATAATATAACTTATTGCCGATCTTCGATATTCTACCCTAATTCAATAACTTAAAATTTCTTTTACGAATAGAGCGGTAATTTCTAATCAAGATAATCTATAAATCGTGCCTTTTACTATTCGGGCTAAATCTTAGTATAAAAACAACGCTAGTAATTTATATCTTTAGAATATTACCTAATATACAATCGACTTTTTCAATATTTCAAAACCAAGACTACCATATCAATATATTATTATTTGTATTATGAAAGCAATATATCGATACGAGCATTATAATAAATCGCACTTCTTAACACTAGCGTAATATTTCGACTCCGAATTAATAAAAAAAATATTTCAAAACAAAGATAATACCAATAAATCGAACTTATTCATATTTAAATAATTTTTCAATTTCAAATCACGATGATAAATAATACATCTACAACCTAGATTCTAAGAATATTTGAGAAAATATTCATCAAAATTCCAGAATATTCGAAATTCCCTCATAAAGCCTTCATAAAATATAAATAAAGAGAGACCATCCGAAGAATCTGCCGCAAGAGCAAAATCCATCCTAATACGTATAAACTTCTTATAATTTATATATCTTCCAGAAATATATACGAAATTATAATTTTTGAACTGATAAAGAATTATTTTTTTTATTTATATGATTTAAATTTCATTTAATTCTATCATAAATAGACCGATCAGATCATTCAAAAATCCAGAATATAAGAATATAATACAACAATATCTTTTTCCGCAAGCACCACCAAATAGATTACATTTATCAATAAAAAACGAAACAAATCGATTTTCGTTGTTCTGGCATCTATATCGTGGTTTAGCATATTTTGGCCTTCGGCTATCCTTACACTACTCAGGACAAGATCACTCATTTTCTGGGTATTTGACGTAAAAGTATATGCAGGAAATAAAACTCATAATCTTGTGGTAGCCCCTCTAGCAAATCAACATGGATATCTTGAGATCATTTTGGATTAGTCGTTCTTCTGCACCAAGAACGGTATGGCTTGGACGGTGCTCGATCCTGGCGTGTTCAGCATTTCATGTTCTTGGCGGTAGTCTTGGGCGCAGCGGAGCTTTACGGAGTCTTTACATTATTCAGGCGAAGATTGCATAAGCTTCGGAAATTGGAGGTTTCGCGAGGTTCTGGGATTCTGAATTCTTCATAGTGTCCTCTACAGAGTGCTTAAGTGGTGAGGGCGGTGAGGGTGTAAGTAGGGCTGATAACACGGTTTCGATAAACACAAACACGGAAATTGCTGAGTGCATACTTACAAGGGCTTCCCTTTGAAAAAGCTTATAATAAATGCAGTGCTTGGTATGAAGTGGGCTTTCAATGGGGCTTTAGGGTGTAGGATGTAGGGTGCAACACGGGCTTAGGATGTTGCCAGATAGCCTTAGTGTTGGATCTGTGCCAGGGTTTGGGCAGGGTTCTAGCACTGAGGATTTGATGATGGGGTTTGTTTGGGAATAAGCTTTAGCATCTTGCTTGTTAGGATTTGATGTGCGTAGGGTTTATGTAGAAACTTTAGTGTTTGGGGCTTGCCGCAAGGCATCAGGGTTTACCATCCAAGGAGGCTTAAGGGTCTCCGCTTGCTGCCGGGAGGTATCGTGGTCCCGTGCCAAAAGTCCTACCCTAAACCATAAACCCTCACCCATCTAAACCAAACCCCAAACATCCCAAAACCTCAAGATCTAAACCCTAAGACCCTGAACCCCACTCGGCGCCCGGCTGACGTGGGGGTCTATTTCTGGAGCAACGCTTTGAAGGTCGCCTCCAGACTACTCCTCAGCTGCAGTTTTGAGGCTTTAGGACTCCTCTGCGGCTCTAAACTCTTCAAGTCAAAAGTCTTCAGGATCCCTAGGCTAGGCCCTAAACGCTGTCAGGCCCCAAACCCAGGGGACTAAGTGCAGAAAGGGCACTTCTCCTTCGTAGATCCAGACCATGTCAGTGGATGAATCTCCAGGCTTTCGAACTCGCGGTCTTCCAGCATCTCGATGGCAGTCGCCATGCTCCTGCTAGAGGCTTCGAGGCCTTCTGACCCTAAACCCGACAAACCCTAAACCAGTAATATAGGGTGTGTGTTCACCCTAAACCCGACAAATCCTAAATTAGTAATATAGGGTGTGTGTTCAAGATCGAGTGTATCTGTCTGGGGCGGGGTGGTTAGATTGCGGATCCTACGCTGACTTGAGGACTGCGGCTTTCCAGAGGACCAAACTGAAATTCAAGGCTAGCAGCGGCTAGCGATCAAAACGTACAGGGTAAACCGACTATAGCTGCTTTTCCAAAAAATAGCGGCGCTTCTCATTCGAATCTGGTTGTGGGATATCTTCTACTATAAGTATATCAAGGACCAGAAGCCTAGGGACGCTTGAAGACCTCAAGACCAAACAAAAGTCTGCAGCCTAAGCCCTACAACCTAACCCTCACACTTTACATCCTGAAAGTCCCTCAACGGAAGATATTAATTTGTCATCGTGATATTATTGACAAGAGTCACAAGCACAACAACAAGCGGAACGGTTAAAAGTCAGCGTTGAGTATTACTGTTACATACTACATTGGAGCACTTCATACCGGAAACCAAAAATCCAAGATCGTGCTATGTAGGTGGTAAAAGAAGTGGGTGCTTCTGGGTGGAAATTTCGGATGGTTTGGGTTTACGACTGCCAGAAAGGACTGAATAATCAGACTAGGGCTAGGGTTTTGGGGGATATGATCCGTTAATTGTATTAAGGAACCCACAGTCGATCAACCCCCACATGCCTGGCGATCAGCTCCCACGAATTGTTGAAGACGCCGCCTGCCGCAGATGCAGGTGACGAGAGAGGGGGACTGCACGGTTTAGGGTTTAGGCTTGGCAGGGTGTCCGGAGTCAATCTGGGAATCTGAGTCCCCAAACTAAACCCCAGTGAGGCTGGGCCTGTAAGGGCTTGCGGTCGCCGTTTCTCAACTGACCCTGATGAGCACCGGGGATTACCCAAGCACCCCGAAGCGAGGCCTCCCAAGGGCATGAGGTAGACTTTTCTTCTCGTCTTGGAAGCTTCAGCTTTGCGCGCAGCGTGCTTCAGAGCGCCGTAGTACTGGGCCCTGAGCACGCACGCCTCGGAGGCTTGAGACTGACAGTGTAGGGTTGTACTGCGAGTCTGCGCATAAGAATAGCTCCGTCTATACACTGACAAACAAACATTTAACAACAAAAACCTACATACACTCACCAAGCCCCTAACTTCAACTGTAAACCGTACTTTTGTGACACGTGTCTTGCACAGCAGAACTCTGCAAAGAAGCTTTCGTTCTGTAGCGGCTCAACTCATACGAGCTTCTGCAATGAAGTTCTGATGATCCAGCTGCTCCTTCTTCTGGACGCGATTCCTGGGTCTCGTTAAGGATCTTGATGTGAGTGATCGGAACAAGGACTTTTTGGGTACACAGTATGCTTATCGTATTGGGTTTCCTGCATGCTTCCTAAATCCTAAGTCACTATATAAGAAACCTGATCAAGCTCCAAAAGAAGCTGATAAACAAATCCATGTAAAACTTCGTAAGACTTGTAAAGCCCGTGAAACGCTTGTAAGACCCAGGCACTATACATGCATCCCCAAAAAAGCCACAGAACAAAAAGGTGAAACTTTCAGACTAGGACCGATCCGTAAGTACACAAAAACCTGCCACATGTTGCACGTTGAACTCAGTATACTTAAAGGATCATGGGACTTAGTAAGTAGGGGTTATCATGAAGGTGGCTATACTTCTAAACCCTAATGAAGGGACTTATAACCCCTTACTTACTAAGTCCCATGATCCTCCAAGTAAGACCCAGATTCAGGTACGTGTTCACGGGAACCGCGGAGGCATAGACCAGACCTACTCGATGTTTGCCGGCCTGGGCTGAAGCTCGGATTGGAGCTTCGAACTGAGAGCCCAATACCCCTTGATTCAGGAACAAAGCTTTCAAGCATACTAAATAAAAATTGAAAACATAATCGTAAAAGCTCTAGGATATAGGGTGTATGCCTTATAACGAAGGAGTATCTTGTGTATCCTGATAGCCCTTTATGATTTAAGGCGCCTGGCTTAGTTAAGAGTTCTTCAACTTCTGGGTTCTCTGGGTGTTTAGGTGTTTCGGGAAGTGCATGATGGATCGAAGGCCTGGGGTAGTTAGGTTGTAGACTTTTGGGGTCTAGTGGTTAAGGGTTTAGGGATTGTATATATATATATATATGTATATATATATATATGTATATGTATATATATATATATATATCACCAATAACAAGAATGTGGTATGATAGGGAGCTTTGGAGCACGAATGAACCTTCCTGGCTCTCCACATGCACATGCAAAGCCCAAAATAAACCTGTCCCTGCCCTGGACAGCGTACCGCCGATAACGCGGGCTCTACACCTGTTCTAGTTCATGGTTGGGGTAATATTAAAAATTTAAATGTATATTCCTTATTGGGTTTAAGTACCCTTAAAAATGTAAAATGTTACCCAACTATGACAAAGTGTTGGGTGCACAGGTTGTAAACCTCCTCTGGATTTGACTTGGCAACTACTTGACGGATCCAGTCGGGGCCCTCTACTCCATGATAGGTCTCCTTATTGGGGTACACTGTTGCCTTGTACCATTGGGGGGTTGGCCACCCCAAGTTTCGACTTGGGTTTCGGGTTTGCCATCGGGGCTTGAAACTCTAGGCTGACCTAAAAGAACTGCCGTGATTCCTCAACCCTGAACCATCGAGTTTCCACCCTGAGCCCTAAACCCTCAAGCTCTACCTATTCTGAATCGTCAACCCGCAAAAGTTGTATCCTGAACCCTCAGCGGAAAAGTTCCAATGTCATCCTGAAAGCCCCTCACCGTCGCTACATGACTAGGCCGTCATATACCCAATTAGAACCCTCTCTAAACCATGAGCGCTAAACCCTAAACTCTAAACCCAAAACCCCTAAACCCTGAACCCTAAACCCTCCTTGTCTCACAGGAATCCCCTCGAGGGTCTGACATTGAGACTTCTCTTGCTGGGTGTTAAGCCCACTGCAGGGATGTCCTCAGCGGTCTGAGATTTCTCTGGAGTTTTAGGGGTTGTGAGAGCTCCAGCAAGGCTTTTTCCTGGTGCTTTATAGCTTTGGTGGTTGGGATTTACAGAAGGCTTTTCTGCTTTGCACGGGGCTTGGGGTTCTGAGGTTTAGGTAGGTTTCTTTTACGGTCAAGGATGCTCAACTTAACTATAGATTTCTGAATAAGTAGAGTAGGGTCTTGGTCCTTGTGCTATGAACGAATATAGATATATTAAGTAACCCTAGTCACATCGGAAGCACCTACCGTCCGCAGGGTTTCCTTTGTGGTATAAAGTAGCTGCAAAGAGACGCAGAAACTCATTGAAGATGCCCGTGCTAAGCCTCGAGTTTAGGGCTTTGGGCTGTAGAAGTCCTGAAGAATGCGAAGCCCATCCCACAAGGTATCTTTAGCGATGCACGTTCCACAGTACCTCCTCTTGGCAACGATCCTAAGCCCCCAAACCCCGGAACCGCAAGTCCTATAAAGCCTAAACCCTACTTAAATCCTAAACCACCAAAACATCCCAAACAACCCTTAACCGTAATCCCGAAACCCTAAACCCTGAACCGTGCCTCCATGATCAATGGGCGCAGAGTGTGCAGCTTGGATTGGAAAGCGGCCTCTGAGCCTTTGAGATCAGCAACTTCCTGGACCTCGGAGCACGAGAAAGAAGACATAAAGTAGGGTTCATAGGGTTTGGGGAGCATATTTCAGTTATTGTAAGAAAAATAACACGTGTTGCAATATATATATATGTCTCTGTATATGTGTGTATAAATAAATAAATAAATAAATATATATATATATATAGTAGTCATTTGTACTATATGTTAGGGACTACCAAGGTTTTTCCCCAACAGCTCTAGCAGCTAGGTTTGCAGTGTCACGGAGCTGGTTACAGGGCCTTTGTTTTGTCAGCAGTCAAGGGGGAATAAAACAAGAAGAAGGCTTTACTTTTGGCGTCTAAGAGGGGTTTAGGTCCAGGTAACCCCAACTTTAGTACGAGGGGATGGCTGGATCGCATCGATCCCCCTCCCCTCCTCCCTTCCCCTCCCCTCCCCCCTTCTTTACAGATTTCACGGGAAGGGAAAAAATACGAACCCAGAGCACGAAGGATCCAACCCCTGCACCACGGGCCCAGACGCGAAGACCATTGAGAGCCAGGGCTGGGAGGGCAAGCTTCCCCGCTTTATCCCCCAGTCCCATATGGTTGCAGGGGTTGGACCGTTTGTGTGTGACCCTAACCTGTACCCTAATTACAAATCGGCGTTCTGCTGTTGCGGATACCTGCTGGGACTCCAATGTCTCCCTGTCAAGGAGGCAGAGGGACACGAAATATCATGAGCTGAAGACTGTGAACTTGGATGCAAGGACTCCGCACCTTTGGTCGTGTTTGGCAACCAGAGTTCCAGAAGACAGGGACCCTATCGCGTCCAAGCGCCCTCGAAGTTGAGACGACCACGGGGAACAGCCCGTGCTCATGCATTCGCTGGTTCTTGGAATTAAGACTCTAAGCCCTCACATAGCTTGAACAAGCCAGAATTGAAGCCCTGAGCCCTAAACCCTCAACCCGCACCTCTAAGTAGCCGTTGTGCAGCCGAACGCCGCAGCCTGGAGTTTTCTCCAGCTCCTGAAGGAACAGGAACAGGGTTCTGGGTTTAGGGTTTGGAGTTTAGGGTTCGGGGTTCAGGGCTTTTTCGGGGTGGTTTGGGGAGTTTAACGGTTGGAGCCTGCTGGGCTTCAGGGTTTCATGGTTTTAGACTCCAGGGGTTGCAAGGCTTTCGGCGTTTTGGGCTTTCTGAGATTGTTAGGCCGTCGTCGGGGCACGATGCAGGGACAAACTGCACCCTTAAAGGGATCCTTTACGACGAACTACCGTGGACGAGGAGTAGGCTTGGACAGTCGCTCTGCCAAGCTCGTGTAGTGCGGTGTTCCGAAGCGTCTCTACTCACTCCCAGAACATCTCTTCGGCCCCACCGGGACAGTGCAAAAGACCTAGCCCGATCTGTGAGGTGATCTGGGGATCTGACTAGCCAGTGGTGCTACTCCCTTATAGTCCCCATGTTGCTATGCTGCAAACTACCCCCCCCAATAACCTATTCCAGTTATCCAGCCCCATTTTACGTAAAGCTCAAGGCTCAGGCTCTATAGGAATTCTACAGTGAAGGGTTTCTAGAATAAGAGTTCTGCATAACATAGGGGCCTTAATAACTAGAACGGGGTTTTGCGAAAGCTGCTATAGTATAGCTATATCAAGTAAACCTAGGAATGGTATCGGTAACCATTCCGGCCTCATGGTAAGCTGGGCTTTGAAGTAACCAGGGAGAAAAAAGTATAGACTTTTACTTCATAATGGTTCCTTTAAGGAACAGGTCCCCAAAAACAAGTATTAAAGTATGGTACTCCAAAGCTTAGTAAGTGTTCTTCCAGCCTTACGCCGAGGCGCGTCGACGGCATTGATGCCGTCCTTCCGCTTCTCGTGCGCAGCATTGTCTAGCACAAACCTTGCACTGCCAAGCAGGTCTGGAAATCCTGCTGGACCCGAACCCCTAAGCCCGAAATCCTAGACCTCATGACCCTAAGCTCTATACCGCCCAATGCATCCAAACCCTAAACCCGAAGCCGGTCTTGCAAAGAAGAAGTCCAAAAGCTGAAGAATCAGAGGGCTCAGCAAGGTCTTAGATCACAAAATTTCGGCACAAACCCTGAACCCGCAACCCAACGTTCCAAACCCCTCAGCCCTAAAGCCCTAAATCCTGAAAACGTTAGCAAATCATGCAAAACTCGAGGGCCCCTAGCCCTTATACAAGCCCTGAACTCCCAAACTCGGGTCATTTAGCGAACCCACGTCCATTCATTGTACCACTTGCAAGGAATTTTTGGATCACCGTCATTGATCCCCCTGCCAAAGCTGCTCCCAGGTAAAACCTGCCATGGTAACCCCAAGCACCAAGCCCTAAACCATACCGTGTACTTGGAGGTTCATGGGTAGTTATAAGTAGGGTTATAAATAGGGTAACTATAATTATCAACCATATTAGGGGACTTATAACCCCACTTATAACTACCAATGAACCTCCAAGTATGGGTGCCCCAACTTCGGTTGCGAGTTTTTGCACCCTGGGCCGACGCCCTGAGAGTTATCACATCCTCCACTACGGCTCCGAACTCCAAAGATATGGACTAAACCCTCCTTGGAGGATCATGGGACCTAGTAAGTAAGGTTATAAGTCCCTTAATTGGGGTTATAAGTATAGTTACCCTAATTATAACCCTACTTACTAAGTCCCATGATCCTCCAAGTCCAGCCCATGTAAATGAACAGTTGAATTACACGGAACGAGCCTACGCCCTGAATGCTTCACAGCTGATGTGTAGAACCTGCAGATGCGTAGTTCTCTAAGTTAGGGTCCCTTTTGGGTCTCCAATATAGCACGGCACCGGTATGCAAAGGACCCGAAAAAGGGACCCCAATTTAGAGAACTACCCAGTATTTGGTACGTACTGCGTAAGCTCTATCTCAGAGAAAGTGGCTGCGCTGCGGCGGGGTGGGCCGCTAACTGTCCTGACAAGATGCGGAGGGGGTTGAGGATTGGGGGCTTGCCTCCCAAAATAATCCTTATAGGACCGCTTATAGAGCCCTTATAGAACCCCCTTATAGATCCCCGTAAAGGAGCCTTATAACCCTCAACACTTCGTGTCACCGAAGTTCTGCATGGTGATCTAGACAATACCAAATCTCAAAGCCAAAACCTCGGGAACTTCACAGGGAGCCGAATGTAAGTTATCCTAACAAGGAAAGTATACTCGATAAGTTGCTGCGTTTCCACATTTCATACGCTGACGGTAACATAAGGCAGCTACACACCTTGAAGCTCAAAAGAAGCTGTGCCGGGGGCCTCGGGGACCACCGGTATTGTCGTACCTTGGAAGTTGCAGGCTGAGTTCTCTCAGGGCTTTAGGGAGTGGATCGCTGGGTTTAGGCTTTAGTTAGGGCTCTTGCGCAGAGGTTTCCACTGTCGTTGCCTGAGAAATGACTGTCATAGTTCTGGCGCCCTCATACGGTATTTCCAGTCTTGACTTCTCAAGGGATGTAGGGCAAGTGGATCAGCCGCATCAGAAGCTCAGCGCGCGGACTGAGACACGATACTGCAGGAAAGTTGCATGTACTCCTCGACGTGCTTCACTACCTTCAAGGCAACGAACTGAAGCTGGCAAGACAATGCTTCCATCGGCTTTGTGTAGAGTTCTGTTCGGACGCTCTTGGTAACCGCGACACTTAACAAATCAGCAGCCTGCTTCCCCTCGGTCTGGCATCTCCTCCTCCGCCAACTCAGTTTCCTCTCAGTCTCATGCACACCACTATCATCATCACCCACACGACATCCTCATTCGCATCCTCCTCCTCCTCCTCCTCATCCGCATCCTCATAATCATCATCGTCCATGACTTCATAGTCATGGTCAATCTCACCACCATCTGCAGAATCATCTGCATCATCACCATTATCGCCATCAGCAGCACCATCATCGTGTTCATCACCCATCATTTTGATCATCATTTTGCACCGCACAAATTACACCCCTACCAGCTACCATGGGCTGGCTGCTGCGGAGTCACGCTATTGTGCGAAGGGTACTCGGCGCCATTCAGTTGAGAAGGCAGCACGAACAGGGCCCCGTCATTCGTTTCCTTCTGGATCCTCCGAGTTGCACGGAGGTCATCGTGACATGGGGCTAGTCCTAAATTCGGGTACCTATGGCAGGCTTTCCTCCAGGAAAAGCTACCTCTCTCGAAGCTTTGCTTGCGTCCAAGAGTCTCTGCCATGATCTCCGAGTTGCAGATGAACTCGCCCTCCATCCTGGGTCTACCGGTAAACTCAAACCTTCTACACAAAAACAGGATCCCCCAGAAAGGGGTAAAGCTTCGGCTTAAGACTGAAGCCAAGTCACTCGCCCCGGGCTCTTTCGCACAGCAGGCGGAGCTTGTCGAAGCCTTGCATCACACTGGCAGCATAGTGGTCGAAGAAATGCTTGCACCGAAAGCAAGTCGATACCCAGGGAGTGTCGCAAGCGGGTGTTTTGCAACTAACAGCTATCACTACACGCGGCTCCAAAACGGGCGACTTACGCCCTACATGTACCTGTGAATGGTTCGAGATCTGTGCAGCCGAGAGTCTCTCGGGCTCGGGAAGGGGAGTGGGCTGGATGGGTGCAAAGGAAAATGGGCCGATGTTGATGCACTCAGCCGCTTCATCCTCGGGTGTCTTCAGAAGACAGAAGACAACCCAGATCACTCTAGGCAGCAGTGGCAAGGGGGAAGGAAATGGACATGACGACGACTGCGGCGACGACGACAGCCAAGCACAAATCTCAAAAACCCGAAACCCTAGCCCTAAGCCCAAAACCCTGCCCTGAAGCCTTAAACCGTGAACTGCAGAGCTCAGAAGGAATATCCGAACGGCCAGGATGCATCTTTCGCACTAAGCATGCAGGTGGCCTTGTCGAACTTGTATGTGCCTCCCAGGGAGATGTGCGGGCACGGGATGGAAAGGGGCCTGTAGCAGCGATACTGCGAAAGGAGCAACCTAAAAGAACAGCTCTTATTCTAATGTAGAAGCCTTAATAAATTACAATAGGGTTTTGGGGCCCATTATACTATACTTATAATGAGGAACCTCCAAAATAGTATGTAAACACTTAAGCCGCTATATTCAATGAACCAGAAGCGTTCCCAGTTTTACATTCCGACGTAGAAATTTGCCTTGAGCCTAGAGGCGCCCTGAGCTTTGAAGACCCATCAGCCTGTTGTGACCCTCGTCAACGTTCGTCGAAAGTTCGGGGTTTCGTGGTTTCGGGGTTAGGGTTTAGGGTTTTTTGACGCACAAGCCCAAAGCCCGAAACTCTAAGCTCTTCCTATGTAAACTGAAAGAGCCCTCAAAGCGGCCTACACACCCAAAGAGCCACACCGCACCTGCCATTTCATCCAGGGAGTAGCGTCCTTCAACCTCAGACGAGAGCCCCATACCAGCGGCTTAACTTAAGGTTCAACGATTAGGGATTTGTGTATAGTGTTTCGGGTTCAGGAATGAGGGTGTAGGGATTCCGGGGCGAGGCGCAATACTAAGCACTCTATGACGGAACTTCCTTCGTTCAGGGGTTTTGGGCTCGCTGCGGAGATGTCGAAAAAACTCCAGAAAGCCTGCGAAGCTTTGGGTTTTTGGCAGGATTTTTAGGTTGAGCCCGGCTCACAGAAACTAAGATCCTTTTAACCCTGTGTCGGGGTTAAGACTTTCGGGTTTATCGAGTCCAGGACAGCCCGGCCACATTCACGAGGCACAGAACCCGAAGTATACATCGCTAAGCCGTAGAAGGAACCCTGGTCTCAACCCTCGAGGGTCAATATACGAACCCTCGAGGGTCAATATACGGGCTCCTGAAGGAAGGAAGCCTTTATCGGAACCGTTAAATGGGCTCCACCAAGGTTGAGACTTTGGATCAGCTGCTGGTTGTTTCGCAGTCATTGAATTGTCGTTCATGGCACAGTAGCTGGCAGCTGGGATCTCGAGTACTGAAAGGATCATGGGACTTAGTAAGTAGGGTTATAATTAGGGTAACTATACTGATAACCCCAACTAAGGGACCTGTAACCTTACTTGCTAAGTCCCATGATCCTCCAAGTAGCCAAGATTCTTCCTCTCCCCTCCGCAGGTTTTGGGAATCCTCCACCCTTTGGCTAGACAGAGAAGGGCATCGGAAGAAAAAGACGTAAACGTGCACGCGGTGAGCTTTGGGAGTTCATGGGTGGTAGAAAGGCGCAGCAAGTGGCGAAGGAGAGAGAACCCCGGACCTCCAAGCCGAGACTGTCTTGAGAAGCCGGGTCGCTGTACTGATCATGCTGGCATCTTGCTCCCCACCTGGAACAGCAAGAAATCTGACTTTTCCTACCGGGATTCTGCAGTTCGGGGTTTGGTGGGCTTAGAAACAAGATGCTCCTGAATTGGCACACGGGGGCTCCCCATAATCTCAGGCCGCTTAGGGTCCCAAGCAATATAGAGCCTGTGAGGCCCGTCTCCCGCATCACATCGCGAACCGTTCCCACTTCAACGGACGCCGGCCAAGCCGTTGCTCAGGCATGGTAAGACTGGCACGACGGGACGGGCATGGAATGTAGAAGTCTAACGGCGAGGGTACAGCGCACCCAGAAGACCTAATAAGATCTCTCGGCCCCACCATGCATTGCTAGGGCATGCTGGGGGAGAGAAGTGTCAGCAGTTTACTTGCTTGTGCATTTAGAGCTTCACGATAAAGACTTTAGTCACTTTAGTCCTTTTGGATCCCTAACAACATATAGGGGGTTGTGGAAACCCTTCAAACTCTTTATGAAGTTGAGAACTTGTAGCTTCAACCATGAAGCCTCGTGTGACTTAGCCGAATTTGGAACTTGGCACAAGCTTGCTGCACAGAGGGCTCACTGCTGCTCTCCTCCCATCGCGCTATCCCCTCTGCTGCTCGTCCCGTGCACTTCCCATTCGACGATGGCAAAAACTCAACCTGCTCTCCCCCCGCCCTCATCCCCTCCCTCTGCTCCCTCCGCTCCCTCCGTTCCTTCCCATGTGATCCAATAGTCACGCCCACACAGCTGAGACGACAACAACATTGATCTGGCGAACACTGCTTCTGACACTCGCAGCAATGTTCTTAGTCTTATACGACAGTCACTGCGGCTGCGGCTGCCACTGCCACCATTACCACTACCGGGACCACTACCATTACTCCGACGACGACGACGACCATCACCACCTCCTCCGCAACCGCTGCTGCTATCGTGAGAGAAGTGACCCCGTTCGGTACAAACAGCCTGCTGCGCCGTCGAAGCAGGATCCGACGCCAGTCGATCCCATGGCACGGGGGAAGCAGCAAAGGCGGAACAGCCTGCCAAACTGGAGGGATGGATAGACATGAGCGGGTGTAGGGGTCCATGGTGGGAACCAATAAACGAGCAACTAAAGATGCGCCGTTATCCCCAAAAAGGAGTGGGTTTTAATGCTTGATGTCCATGTTTTTGACTGAGTCTGAGCTCGACTCTGCACCGTTGTATGTGAGCCTATACATGACTCGACAGCGAAAGCGCTGCAAAAACAAACCCTGAATCCCAAATGCAACGCCTGGACTGGCGCGCCGTTGCACAAAGGAACGCGGTCGTAGAAACGATTGGAACAGCAGCGAAGCGAAAAGCGAAGGGGCGGCGCAACGACCTCGGGTAAAATGCGGGCCGTGGGGTTTTGGGGTTCAGCGTGGGATGCTTGGGTAACTGGAGCTTTCACCGTGATTGCTGTAATTCGGAGGGGTCGCGTGGATTGAAAAGTCGAAGCCAAGAACGGCCTTTCTAGGCGCGTAACCTCCGAACTCAACCTCAAGTACTCGGTCTTACATAAGCTCCATGACCTTAAACCAAGCCTCTGCCCCTCTCTTTCTATATATAAAAATGTTGTGTATATATATATATATACATCTATCCACGTATGTTACTATAACATAAATATGCATATATATATATAT